TTGAGGCCGACGATCACTTCGTCCATGTCCTGGTCGGGGCACACCGGGCTCTCGACGATGCCGGAGGGGATCACGGTGCTGAGGTCGAGGAACATGTCCTTGCACTGCGGAAGGTGTTCATCGATCCAGGGCACCATGCTCATCATGAACGGTTCCTGCTCGCACACGCAGCGTGTGAGATCTAAACGTATATACGCGACGATTCGAAAAACGATGCGAAGTGCACCTTGAAGAAGCGAGTTCCGTTGGCCAGATTCTGCATCGTCTTGGTCAGCAGCACCAGAGTCCTGCGCACGTTGGGACCCTTGGCCACTGCACACCACGACGCACGGTGGAGCACTCATTGGACCAATGAACGCGCAAGCGATAAGTCAAAATGCGATGACAAAGAGGGACGCACGAGTGGCGAACTCGGGCATGATGGTCTCGGGCGCGACGATGGCGGGGCAAATATAGCGAAGGAAGAAGAAGCCGCCGGTGGCGATGGGCCACTCGAGATCAGGGAACTTTCGCTTCGTCTCTGTGTGCAGCAGGTTGCAGATGATCCGGAATTGGCTTGTGTGTGTGTGTTGTGTGTGTCGCACATGTCAGCATACGCCGCAATGAAGCACGTGGTGGTTGGTGAGAAGTGGTACAGTGGGCACTGGTCGACCATCGAGTCGATTCGCTGAAGGAATTTTGTACAAATGGCGGAGAGCTCGACGACGTGCTGCTGGACCACATCCTCCGCCAACTCGCAGCGGAAGGAATCGATCTTTTGGTGTAAACAAAGAAACGAAAAATGATGAATTACGGGACGAGTGGATGGTGACCAAGGTGCGAAGGGGAGGGGGAGGGGCACGCGCACCTCGACGTCCTTGTCCTCGAGGGCGAGCTCCTTGAGGAGAGGGCCGAGCAGCTCCAGCAGGTACCGCCGACCACTCAAGCGGATGAAGTGGCCCAGCACCTTGGCTGCCACACTGTTGGATCGGAAGAGGGTTCCGATCTCGACTGCAGGGGTGCAGCGTACCAATCGATCGTAAGCATCAACGAGGAGCGTGGTGCCAAGAAAGTGCGTGTGTGGTGGGAATTGACGTACGTGTCCGATGGATTTCGTATTTGATGGTTCCTTCGAGAAGGCGCATCAGCTGGCCATGGTTCAGGAAGAAGTTGACTATACACTTGGTCAGCTCCCCCTGTGTGTGACGCGATTGTGAAAAGAAGGCGGTGAGTTAGTTAGTGAGTCGGAGAGGTGGAACGCTTCAGGCAGCCGGGCGCACCAAAGCCGACATGTCGACGCATTCGCACAGAGCAAACACCATCTGGAGGTTCTCGTTGAGGCACAACTGTATTATCACAAACAAATATTGTGTCAATAAATCGTAACAAAAATAAATAACAAGGATTAATAATAAACAATAATTTAGTGTATTATTAATCGTCAGTACCTCTGTGATAACGGTCTTACGGCACTCGGGCTGAGCAAGGAGAACACGGAGCTGCGCGGGAGTGAGGGCGGCCTCCTTCTCCTGGTGCTCCGTCTCGGCGCGCCGCCCCATGAGCTCCGTGATCTGCTGCTGGAGCTCGGGGCTGAGCGCCTTGGCCATGCTGTGCGTCGAGGAGGAGCGCGGTCCATCCCACGGGGAGGTCGTCACCACCACCAAGCGGTCCACCATCGATGGGGCGGAAAGTCGCATGCGAGTATGCAGAAGATGGAGAGCAGAGGAGGAGGAGGTAGAGGAAGAGGAGGAGAGAAGGAGGAGGGAGAAGTGAGGAAGCAGACGCAGTACAACTACAAAGTAATAAAAACAACAACAACGAAAAACAATACAATAAAAATACAAATAAACCAAATACGACATTCCCATTTTTGGGCCTTTTCAGTTATAACTGGACCCCGTGGAGCGGGGAAAGAAGGGGGGGGGAATACCCTTGATCGTGCTGCATGATCTCGGCCTCGGCCCTGCTTACGATGTCCTCCCGAGCGCCTGATGTCGCCACACACGTTAGTCACTACCAAGTTTGCCACACCCACACGAGTGGACTACAAGGGTGGAGGGGCACGAACTACGGGGGGTCTGGAGGCCGATGGTGGTGCCCGAGGGAGGAGCACCTCGCGCCGGAAGAACGCGGGGCGAGCTGATGTGGCATCGACAATCCGCGGCGCAAGGGAGATGAATGAACATTCATTAGGAGTCGAGTGGCTGTGTGGGTGGGGAATGACGGAACGTACCGGCCCTCGCTGGCACCGAGCTGCGGGCGCTTATCGGCAACGGGCGAGAGAGGCGCGCGAGCACCGACCGCTATGATGAAGATAGAGTGTAAGCCTACTGTCAGTGGGCAGCTGCTGTCAGCAAAGGGGAGGTAAAAGAGTACCAGAGACAGAGCTGGAGTGCAGTCGCTGGCCTGACATCAACCCCATGCCGCTTCCTGGAGCAGAAGCGCACGGGTGAGCATTGCTCAGTGAAACGCAAGAGAGCTTCGTGAAGGCAGATGCGAACTCACCGGAGCTGCTGGTCGAACCCAACGCGCCGCCGCTCGAACCGCTCGCCAGAGCACCCGAGCCGCTGGAGGTCGACAGCGAGGGCGACGACGGCGTGACCAGCCCGCGGGTCGGCGACGCCGGTCGAACACTGTGGCCGCTCTTCGCCGCCGCCGCCTCCCAGCCGCCGCGACCCGGCGAGCCCGGCGGTCGCTCCATGGTGGGTGACGATGGCCCGGCAGCCGACTTGGAGGCGTCCCACGACGAGGAGAGCGAGAGGTTGGACGGCATCGGAGAGCTGGCCACGATGCCCTGCGCCTCCTTCTTGGCCTCCTGGAACTGCAGGAAGCGCTGCTTGAGCAGAGCCAGGATCTCGTTCTTCTTGGCGAGCTGCTCATCCTTCTCCGCCAACTGCTGTTGGAGCTGCGTGATTGCTTTCACCGCCTGTAGTTGTGTGTGTGTTGTGTGTGTTGTGTGTGTGGTGTTGTGTGTGTGTGTGTGTGTGTGTGTGAGAGAGAGAGAGAGAGTAGAGGTGGTAGAATGACAATAGCACGAACCATTTCCTTGATTCGATCGAGCTCCTCCTGCTTCTTCTTGCGCTGCGCCTCCTTTTCCTGGGCCTCGCGCTGGTAGTTGTAGGCCTTGGCGCGCCAGTCCTTCACCTCCTCCAGGAGGATGCGCGTCTGCTCCTTGGTCTGCTCGGCCAGCTTGCGCCGCAGATCCCGCTCGGTCTTGAGCTTGCTCAATATCCACGGCGGGCACATCTCCAGGTCGGCCTTCATCTGTGCGGCATCCGTCGGAGTTGAAGGCGCCACTCGGCGCGGTTCTGTTGAGGAACACGACCAACGACACGACCAACGACACGCACTGTTAAGGTCAAGGCTACGGCGGGAAGACCCGTGTGTGGCGGGGAAGAGATGACCCGCACAAGGCCCCAAAGAAACAGAAACAGACAACCCGTTGCAGTTGTTTCGAGATGAAGTGAGAACGTGGATTGATGAACTTAACATCAAGGAGGGGGGGGGACAACGGAAGATTTGCTGCTGCGGAGGATTGGGTACAAGCCACTCCCGTGGTTTGGATTTTCGACAAAGGCGAAGAGAAAAAGCGAAGGGGGAGAAAGGGGGGACGCGCACCTTCATAATAGCCTTCGTGCATGACAAACGTGTGGAACCGGAGGCAAACTTCAACGCTGCAACTTTGTTGTTTTAATCTGTTTGGGCCGGCTCCGGCTGCGCTGGTCGGAGTGACAAGGCGAGGTCGCTCTTCACCACGACTGTTCTAAGGCAGGTTAGGAGGACACCTCACCCGCAAAACCACGAGGTGCTCTTGGACACCCGTAAGCTTCTTGTCTTGTGAAACGATCGCACCGATAAGCAGACCGTTATTGCCAGTCGAGATGCAGCTCGCGTTGGGATTGGCAGACTTATTTCGTGCTCATCATTCCTTGCATTCCAAAATAAAACACAGCCACTCCGCCAAATTCCGCTTTCAGTCCGCACCCTTGGGCTGCACTCAGAGGAGGCACCAATGGGCAAGTGTGTGCTGGTTGGGGACTGATTGGGAGGGAGAGAGGTTGGCGTGCGGCAAGCAGGCGGCCACTGATGTTGGCCACTGATTTTTCTCGTGGTGCGTACCTGTGGGAGGCCCTGACAGGTGCACTGATAGAGTGGGATTGGACTGATGCTTCCCATTCATTCTTACACATGCGTGGCTCTAAAGAGCCTGGCAAAAGAGAGACTGCGCCAAACTCACGAACACGACACATCAGACAGCACTATAACCGCCAACCATCACCCTTCTACGGCCATGGCGACTACACATCATCACCTCCTGTTGTGCCTCCTACTAATCGGTTTCCTCCTCTTTCACACCGCGACAGCTGCTTCGATGTCTCCTACGACGATCGAGACCGCCACCCCTTCACGCGTGCACAGCCACATCGATCACTCGTCTGACTTGGCCCTCCAGGTGCTCGACAGCCTCGACCGCCAACAACAGGGTCGTGACTGGAAGTTGGCCGATGTGTGGTCACCCACCACTGGCCATGACGTGAAGCGAGGCGACCTCCTCAGCACGGAGCGCCTGGCCGACTTCGCCGCGGGCGCGGTGCTGGGCGTCGTCTTCGTGCTGGTCACCCTGGGCGTGGGCATGACCTGCCGCCTCTTCCTGTGTCGAAGCAGCCGAGCAGTGAGGCCCCGATACCAGGCCGTCGACATCGTGGCCAACGAGGCCGACCTCTCCGTGGCTGAGACCGAGGCCATGATACCAGAGTTCAGCTACACCGACCTGGAGAGGGAGCGACTGCAGCGCCTCAAGGAAGAGTCGAGACAACAGCCACAGCAGAAGAGGAAGTGGTGGCAGAGCGGGCGCGGAAGACACGAAGAGCAGCCGACCAACCACCCACAGACCACCGCGCCGCATCACGACGTGGAGGAAGGCCCCAAGGGGGCGCTCGAGGGCGAGGAGCGGAAGAGCTGCGACCAGACCCCGCCTCGCTCCCTGCTGCTCTTTGGCAAGTGGAGCTGGGCACCCGCACGCGAGCCTGCCGCCGAACACGGCGGGGCGCCTCTGGCCGTGACCCAGTTGGACGACGCCTCGCCTTCGCCGCCGTGGAAGCGACGTGCAAGCGACGTCGTACCGCGATTGGACACCGCCTAAAAGTCACCGGTGTGCCTGTATTTACGAAACCTGAAACGAAAACGAAATTTTCGCAAAAAAATTGTTTGTATCAGGCCGGCTGGCGTGTCGGTTGGCTGTTGGTTCGCCATTTGGCGCGAAATAATAACAGTAAAAAATAAAAGCTACCTTGATCAGAAGCAAGTGCGGAAGATGAAGAAGCAAAGGACGGGGGTGAGCCAGCCGGAGGGCCAGGAAAGTGGGTTTGCGCCGGTGGTGGTGGACGAGGCCGGGGTGGAGGCCTACAATGAAGACGCCGACAACGCCCGAGCAACGCAGCGGCCGGCAGGGTGGCTGGAGCCGCGCGAGGATAACCCCAACGAAGGCGCCCTGGACGGCCTGATCGACGCCTCCAGCGACGAAGAAGCTGACGATGAACGAAAGAAGAAGATGACGAAAAACATGAAGACGAAGAAGAAAACGAAGACGAAGAAGAAGGCGGAAAGAGAAGAAGGAAAGCGGTCACTCCGAAGTTGGCCCTGTCTCGTGGGGGCGAGCCGCATCGCTTGTGCGGCAGTGCATCGAGACTATCGCCACGCAGCATTACACGCTCCAGGTCCCCCCAACTATTCGCCACTACACTGCTCAAGTGCAACTATTGGGCTGACTCTGTGCTCGCTCGTCCCCAACAGTCGGAGGTGATGTTGCCGGAGGCCTTGGCGCATGCGCTCCTGCAGCGGTTCGCGAGGGACAACTCGCTCTCGCCTCAGGCCCTCAGCTTCGTTCTGCGTTCGCCCATGACCGTACGCGGCCGCCACCATCAGCCTCGCCAACGCGGTCTGTGCTGCACACTGGCGGACCACCAACTCACTCGCACCACTTTCTGGCAACCCAGGAGTTGAAGCTGACCGTGAAGCGGCTCCCCAGTCTCTGCGTTCACCAAATCGCCACCGTGATGACGTACGTCAATCTCTGAACTTCAGAGGCCTCTCGCCAACATAGTTGTGAGACCCTCACCTACGACTACTCTGGTTGGGCGACAGGCAACTGGAAAGCCTCAGCATCGAGAACTGCAAGTCGCTGGTGGACGTCCACCTGCGCGCGATCTCGCGCATGCCCAACCTCACCTCCCTCTCGGTGTCCGGTACGTGGTCCGCCCTCACGTCCTCAACTTGGAAATCCCTCATACGACTGTGTGCGTGTGCGTGTGCGTGTGCGTGTGCGTGTGCGTGTGCGTGTGCGTGTGCGTGTGCGTGTGCGTGTGCGTGTGCGTGTGCGTGTGCGTGTGCGTGTGCGTGTGCGTGTGCGTGTGCGTGTGGGGGGTTAGGGTGCTTCAAGCTGACCGACAAGGCCCTGCTTCACATCGGCCAAAACGCCAACGCTCTGCGATCGCTCGACATCTCCTCGCTCAAGCGCATCACCGACCAGGGTCTCATCGCACGTTTCTCTCCCCTCTCTCTCTCGCTCTGGTTCTTCGTTTTTGTTGTTCTCTTCACGGACAACTAACATTGGCTGCAGGATTTGGCCCATGGCGAGGCCAGCAAGCAGTTGGAGGAGCTCAACGTCTCCGCGTCCCCGCAGGTCACCGCCGCTGGCTTGGCCGCG